TAAATTGTGGAAATTAATCAAAATATTTAACAGCTGAATGACATGAGCACTAGCCACTCAGAGCAGGTGACTGATACATTCTAACTGATCAGAACAAATGCCAGATGTAAGCAACCAAATACAACTATACCAGTGATTTCTATCATTCCTGGGCCTCCTCATTTCTACCCCATAGTCAGCTTTGTTCTCAGTCAGAGACTCCACTGTATTCACCAAAACCCACTGTATTGTCTCAGACACACAGCTAGACCACATTTCCAGTTCTATTAGTTCTCATCAGTGGAGTAAATATGAAGCTTTGGAGCCTAGTTAGGTAACTGTGTCTCTCTCTTGATTATCCTCACTAGTACAAATGACGTGGAAGACCTAGAGGAAGGTAAAATTACAAAATGAAAGAACCTAGGTAGGTCCTGAATGACCACACAGTAGGCCATCTGAAAAGGACCACCATATCTGGCTCTGATGGAACAAGAAATAAATACTTGCTGTGTTAAGCCACTGATAATTCTAGATTTATCTGTTTTTGGAACTAGAGTTGCCCTATGATATCATTTTCTCCTCTGCTTCCTTAGTACCCTGTATCTGTCAACCTATAATTCATGTTTTTTGTTTGTGCATCTACCTCTTCCTTTAAACTCAAAATTCTTTGAGAGCAAGGAATACTCCCCTTTATTTTATCTCCAGAACACAGCATATTTTCCTGAAGCTAAATACACCCTGAAAATATGCTTTTTAGATGTTGCTTTTATTAATAAATCCTGTTATTTTATGATGTGTTTCAATAGCCCTAAAACTGTGATGGTTCCTCATAGTTTAAAAAGGAAAGCTGGGGGGGTTGCAAGGATGACCATTATCTGGCCATAGCAATCATATTTTTTACCTCATCTTTCACTTTTTCCTCATTCAGTGCCTAAATCTTCTAATCACTGTTTTCAAAAATTCCCATAATTCTCTGCTTCTATGATTTGTTTATACTGTTCTTTTCACATAGAATTTTTTTCCCATGTTCAAAATCTATTTCCTCCTTAAGGCCTAACTTAAGTGACTTCCTATCAATTAAACATCTCCTAATTTTTTCCAGCATGAAGTTTCTTTCCCTTCTAGGAACTCTTATATCCCTTTACATTCCTTATAGTGTTTATTATTAATACTTAATAAGTATTTATGAACAGCATTTATTGCACATTTGGTATTTTAAAAGCCCAATAATGTAATATACTTCCAAGTATGAGATCTTTTTTGAAAATACAATGAGATATATAATCATTATCTTTTTATAGTTCAGCAGTCTACTGTCTACTTTGTTTACAAGTAAGTGCTAAAATACTGAGAGAAGTTCCAACTGTTTTTTTGTTGAATCTGGCTAAATAGCACAGCATGTTCTAGCAAATTAAACTACCACAGACCCTTTTCCTTCTCTTGTGTTTCCTGCCTAGAGACGTTTAGCATTTGTTGTAAAGCTGGTTTGGTGGTACTGAATTCTCTTAGCTTTTGCTTGTCTATAAAGGTTTTAATTTCTCTTTTGAATCTCAATGAGATCCTTGCTGGGTAGAATAATATTGGTTGTAGGTTTTTCTCTTTCATCACTTTAAATATGTCCTGCCACTCTCTTCTGGCTTGCAGAGTTTCTGCTGAAAGAGCAGCTGTTAACCTTATGGGGATTCCCTTGTATGTTATTTGTTGTTTTTCCCTTGCTGCTTTTAATATTTTTTCTTTGCATTTAATTTTTGATAGTTTGATTAATATGTGTCTTGGCATGTTTCTCCTTGGATTTATCCTGTATGGGACTCTCTGCACTTCCTGGACTTGATTGACTATTTCCTTTCCCATATTAGGGAAGTTTTCAACTATAATCTCTTCAAATATTTTCTCAGTCCCTTTCTTTTCCTCTTCTTCTTCTGGGACCCCTATAATTCGAATGTTAGTGTGTTTAATGTTGTCCCAGAGGACTCTTCAACGGTCCTCAATTCTTTTCATTCTTTCTTCTTTATTCTGCTCTGCAGTAGTTATTTCCACTGTTTTATCTTCCAGGTCACTTATCCGTTCTTCTGCTTCAGTTATTCTGCTATTGATTCCTTCTAGAGAATTTTTAATTTCATTTATTGTGTCGTTCATCATTGTTTGTTTGCTCTTTAGTTCTTCTGGGTCCTTGTTAAACGTTTCTTGTATTTTCTCCATGCTATTTCCAAGATTTTGGATCATCTTTACTATCATTACTCTGAGTTCTTTTTCAGGTAGACTGCCTATTTCCTCTTCCTTTGGTCTGGTCGGCTTTTATCTTGCTCCTTCATTACTGTGTGTTTCTCTGTCTTCTCATTTTGCTTAACTTACTGTGTTTGGGGTCTCCTTTTTGCAGGCTGCAGGTTCGTAGTTCCTGTTGTTTTTGGTGTCTGCCCCCAGTGGCTAAGGCTGGTTCAGTGGGTTGTGTAGGCTTCCCGGTGGAGGGGACTGGTGCCTGTGTTCTGGAGGATGAGGCTGGATCTTGTCTTTCTGGTGGGCAGGACCACGTCTGGTGGTGTGTTTTGGGGTATCTGTGACCTTATTATGATTTTAGGCCACCTCTGTGCTAATGGGTGGGGTTGTGCTCCTGTCTTGCTAGTTGTTTGGCATAGGGTGTCCAGCACTGTAGCTTGCTGGTCATTGAGTGGAGCTGGGTCTTAGCATTGAGATGGAGATCTCTGGGCGAGATCTTTTGCCGTTTGATATTACATGGAGCCAGGAGGTCTCTGGTGGACCAATGTCCTGAACTTAGCTCTCCCACCTCAGAGGCACAGGCCTGATACCTGGCTGGAGCACCAAGACCCTGTCATCCAAATGGCTCAGAAGAAAAGGGAGAAAAGATGAAAGAAAAAAATAAAATAAAATAGTTATTAAAATAAAAAATAATTATTAAAAATAAAAAAATTTTAAAGTAATAAAAATAAGAAAAAAAAAGAAAGAAAAGAGCAACCAAAACCAAAAAACAAATCCACCAATGATAACAAGCGCTAAAAGCTATACTAAAACAACAACAACAAAAACGGACAGACAGAACCCTAGGACAGATGGTAAAAGCAAAGCTATACAGACAAAATCACACAAAGAAGCATACACATTCACACTCACAAAAAGAGAAAAAGGAAAAAAATATATATATCATTGCTTCCAAAGTCCACCGCCTCAATTTTGGGATGATTCATTGTCTATTCAGGTATTCCACAGATACAGGGTACATCAAGTTGATTGTGGAGATTTAATCCGCTGCTCCTGAGGCTGCTGGGAGAGATTTCCCTTTCTCTTCTTTGTTCGCACAGCTCCTGGGGTTCAGCTTTGGATTTGACCCCGCCTCTGCGTGTAGGTCGCCTGTTCTTCACTCAGACAGGACGGGGTTAAAGGAGCGGCTGATTAGGGGGCTCTGGCTCACTCTGGCTGGGGGAGGGAGGGGTACGGATGCGGGGCGAGCCTGCGGCGGCAGAGGCCGGCATGACGTTGCAGCAGCCTGAGGCACACCACGTGTTCTCCCAGGGAAGTTGTCCCTGGATCACGGGACCCTGGACTAGCGGCGGGCTGCATAGGCTCCCAGGAGGGGAGGTGTGGATAGTGACCTGTGCTTGACACAGGCTTCCTGGTGGCTTCAGCAGCAGGCTTAGGGTTTCATGCTGTCTCTGGGGTCCGCACTGATAGCCGCGGCTCGTGCCCGTCTCTGGAGCTCATTTAGGCGGTGCTCTGAATCCCCTCTCCTCACGCACCCTGAAACAATGGTTTTCTTGCCTCTTAGGCAGGTCCAGACTTTTTCCCGGACTCCCGCCCAGCTAGCTACCACAGACCCTTATTTCAGTTTAGATTGCTTTTTTTTCACATCTCACTTCTAAAGTAAAGCTGGCTACAGAATCTTGGCTTTAAGAAATAACCTGGTACGACCTTTACAATTGTAGTAAAATAACAATTGTCCATCTTGCCACAAAAATATTTCATATAATCAAAAGAAATACAATGAAATGTTACATTTTATTGTATGTACAAATACAATAAAATGAATTGATTTTTGGCAATCACTTCAGATGGTAAAAAAAAAAAAGTAATTATTAGACATTAGATGGGACAAAATGTATTTTGCATCACAGACAACTGATACAATTTTTGACTAGTTGGTTGGTTAAACTCTTCCAGCTTTATAGTTTCACCTCAGTGCCCCTCTCAATTTTGAACAGTACAACACAGAGTACACTTTTATTTGAAGAACCCATCCAGATTGCTTAAATTTCCTTGGTATTGATTTTGCAGTATCTGAAGCACAGGTGTCATTGGTTCTGTGTGCACACAGAAAAAATCCTTGAATTGATTTAAAATAAACCAGGTCAGTGTAGATCAATTTAGGCCATGACAGCCCACGAGATGTAAATTAGGATTCTCCTACTGAGACTGAAAATAGATTCCATCAAATCTTCTCTGAGAAGATTCTGAAACTGTATCTTAAAAGGGACAGCTATAAAAATCTCAAGATTCCTGTAGTATTTTGAGTAAGAGGAAATGGAAGAAAGGGCAGGAGATAAAATGCTATTTCAACAAAGGAATTTCCCAATATATAGCCTAGTGTTTTCATTTTCTGTATTAATCAGTTTTGGAGGAAAGACAACATTGGAAGAACAAATTAAAAAGCAATTTACTAATGACTTTATGCCAACTACACTTGTCAACCATAATCTCTCCTGCAAAAGTGATAAAGGGCAGTGATCATTTTCAAACAGAATGGAAAGTATTGTACCTGAATTCATTCATATACTCTTTTCAATCTGTGAGGTGCTTAATAAGACAGCTTTTTAGTGAAACACCTGGAAAACCAAAAAGTAATAGCTAATCCATGAAGCCACTGTGCCAAAAACTGGAGCTGAGTTTGAGGGTCACATTGCTATCACAAAGTGATTGCTTCATTGACGTCATGAGAAAATGCTATGCCTTATCAACAATTTCATCTTAGAAAGAGAATGTGGAAAATAACTTTACAACTTCTTTTGATCCAGTTTCCTGCAGCACAGTGAGCTGTTCCCTATAATTTCTTACCAAAGAGAAGTGGATTCCCCATTCTGAGGACCTCAGGAATAAGGTACCTGACTTTGTATCTCTACTGTATAACTTTAGAAATATTAGATTGTAAGGAGTTCATTCAGGGCAAATTCATTGGCAGAATGCTTTCAGTTTGGGTGAGACTAAAGATTACCCAGAGTAAGGATATTAGCCCTGGCTTTGCCACTAACTAGCTGAATGTCATACAGCCTCTTGGGGCTTCAGTTTCCTCATCTGAGCCTCTATTTCCTTGTCTGAACTCACTAAGCCTTGGTTTCCTTATCTGAGCTATTCATCATAGTCAGCCTGCTCAATTCTTTTATCATTTCACTTTATAACAACCAAGGCTCAGTTTTAATTCCATAAGCCAAGAAATAAAGGCCAATGTTATAAAACATAAACACCTTAGGCAGTGTGACATAGACTTCAGAACAAGGAATATTACCAGGGTTAAAAATAACATTACAAAATGATGAAAAAAATCGATTCACTAAGAATAAAAAACAATCCTGAATGTGTGTGGAGCTAAAAACTGTACTTGAAAATACATGTAGCAAAAAATAATGGAACTGAAAAGAGAAATAGACAAATCCATAATTTGGACTTGAAGTATCCATAATACTTGGATACTTCAACAATTCTCTTTCAGCAATTATAACAAGTAGACAGAAAATCAATAAGGATATCAAAGCCTGCAACAGCACTATCAACCAACTTTATATAATTAACATATTTAAAATAATAAAAATCATAAAAAATTTATTCTAAGACTATTAAAAAAACACCCTTAAATTAGAAAACAGTAACAAAGATACCTGGAAAATCTCCAAATACTTGGAATTAAACTATACACTTCTAAATAACCCATGAGTCAAAGAGGAAGTCACATGGGAAAATAGAAAATATTTTAAACTGAAAACAAAACAAAACAAAAAAAATGTGTAGAATGCAGTTAAAGCAGTGCTTAGAGGGAAATGTATAACATTAAATGTATACATCAGAAAGCAAAAACTGTCTCAAATTGATGAGCTAAGCTTTCACTTTAAGAAACTGATAAAAGAAAAGCAAATTAAACCCAAATTAAAAGCAAATTAGAGGTAAAAGAAAGTATAATAAGTATAGGCACAATAATCAATGAAATTGAAAGTGTAAATAACATGAGTAAAGGGAAACCAAATGCGTGTTCTTTGCAAAGATCAATAAAAATGATAAACCTCTAATCAGACTCACCAAACAAAAACTAAAACAAAAAAATGGAAGATACAAATTGGTAACATCAGAATGAAAAGGGAAACATCATTATGGATCCTACAACATTAAATAGATAATAATAAAGTATTACAAACAATGTAATGACCATAAATCCAACAGGTTAGATGCAACAGGCAAATTCTCTGAAGGTAAAAACTATCAAAGTTCACTCAAAAAGAAATAAGTATAATATGACTACTCTAATCAATATAAAGGAATTGAATTCACAGTTAAATTTCTTCCAAGAAAGAAAATACCAAGCCCAATGAATTCGATAATTAATTCTCCCAAAACTTTAAGGGAGAAATAATGCCAGTTCTATAGAAACTCTTCATGAAAGTAACATTTTGCAATTCATATTACAATGTTATGGCAGTGAGCCTGGATATGACCCCCCAACTTATGTGGGATGCTTTTATTTCCTGACACCTCCAGTGCCACTGAACCCATGGAAGTCTCTACCATGCTGAGCCTCACTCACTTCTGTTCATTTCTTTTGTGGGTTTGATTTATGAATATGCTTTTCTTGACTTTTTTGTACGACTATAAATTTTGAAAACTATTTTTATATCCCTCCTATATGTTTGGAGCAGTTAGGAGAGATGGCATGCTCTGGATCTTAAAACATAACCTTATTGTACTGGCTTGGTTAGAAGTCTTGTACATAAAAGATTCTAAATAAACATTTGCTAAACTGACTTGCATAAAGTTACATGTAATGTGAAACACTACAGTTATATTCTACTGAGTTATTTTTTCCCCCTTACTTTCAGTCTTATGTTTTGCAACAAATCAAAATGAATCTCTCTGTGAGAGTAATAAGAATTAATTTGGGGGATGATCTTCAGGCATCTTTGAGTAGACAGAACCACTTGATGGCATTTGCAGAAATTGATCTAGGCACGTTTCTTTTCCAGTCTTGTTATTTTGTTTACATACTTCCCTGTAGCAAACATAGATATTAAAGACCACGCTTTATGCTATGGCCTTGGAAATATCAACTTTCTCCTACTCTCAAGTGTATCAGTAGCATTTCTTGCCTCCTGATGCTAGGCAAAGTAGAACTCTCTTTAGACTACATAGCCAACTCTTATTGGCACTAAAGCTTTTTATTCTCTGATCTATTAGCAGGTTGACGTCTCTTAAGGTCAAAAGGTGCAAAAACTTCGAAATACATAGCACTGAGTTTGATCTTAAAAATACAAAATCAAAGGATTTTAAAATCTTAGGAATAAGTCCTGCTTTTTATCTAATGTTAGTGAATTAAAAACATTACCAGCTCATACCTACTGGCCATTGATATTAAAAATAAGTAGCTATGAAATTGGACTCCCAAGTATTTTTCAAAGTACTTGCCTTGGTAAGATACCAAGAGCCCTTGTTTTCTTAATGGTTTCTAAAGACAATTTTCCACTAAAAGAAACCAAGTTTCCTTGAATAAATAGCTGAATTCAGAATTGGGGCAGGAAAGATCTAAGACGAGAGCATTTTGTTCCAGAAAGTATGGAACCATTTTTAAAAAATTGGGATGTATCAAAATGATATAGGAGCCTAACTGAAAGGGCTCCCATTGGCAATACGTGGGACCAAGTAAGTAATGAGAATAACAGATTAAAACTGAAAAAAAAATTTTTGAAAAAATATAATAAATGAAACCATAGTAATACAAATAAGTAAACAAGATTGGAGGGAAGACATTTTTGGAGGAATGCTGACTCATAAATGCAGTAGAAATGATAGAGGTAGAAAATCACAATTTTGCAACCATGGTAGTTAGGCAAGAAATATCAATGGATACTAAAACTAGTGGGTAAAGGTTTCATAGGAAACAAGACATTTATATAGTATCAAAATGTTTTCCCATAAATTAAATAATTACTAATGGAATGTAGAGTAACTCTCTGGTAGAGAAATCTATTAGACACTCCCTTAACTAGGAGATGAAAATTAAAATCACCAATAATAGAATAAATTAATATCATCCTTGATGTGATACAGTGAGAAGGACACATCACTTCTGTGCTATTCTTGCTGAAGATAAATAACCTGAAGCTAATCATGAGTAAAAATTAAACTCAGGTTGAGTTTGGTTTTTCCACAATGTAATTTCCTGTAGTCTGTAAAAAAGTTAAGATAAAGAAACAAAGAATGGTTCCAGACTAAATGAGACAAAAGAGACATGACAATCAAACTGCAGCATGTGATCCTGGACTGGATCCTGGACCTAGGGGAAAAATAGCTATAAAAGAATTATCAGGACAATTGGAAAAATTTGAATATGAACTACAAATTATGAAATAGGGTTATATCAGTTTTAATTTCCTGATTTTGATAATTGTTCTATGTTTATATAAGAGAATGTTCTTGTTTCAGGAAATACACTGAAGCATTTAGGGATAAAGGGGCATGATGTCAGAAGTGCACCCTCAAATGCATTTAGTTTAGTAAAAATGTATATGTATGTGCAACATACATACATCATATGAGTGCTCATGTATGTGAATAGATTGATGGATAGGTAAATAAATAGATAGGGACTGAATGATAAAGTAAACACAGCAAAATGCTAATAATTCGTGATTCTGGGAAAAGGGTATATGGGTGCCCTTTGTACTACTCTTGCAGATTTTCTTATATTTGAAATTGTATCAAAACAAAAAGTTAACCCCCAAAATACTTGCATTAGGATGCTAAACATTTATTCCAAAAATGTTACAAATAAATCATTACTTTTGCTCAAATCATTTTTTAAATACTTTAAAATTTTATCTTTAAGGTTACTTTGCCACTTCACACACACACACACACACACACACGCTACTCTGCATATCATAATTGAATGTTTATTAGATATCTTAAACCTTGTATGTCACAAGTATATTATTTTTTGCCCATTTAGTCCTATCTTTTCTCTTGATCTCATTCCAAACCATTCTTACTTTAGTTAAATGACAAAATTCTTCCTGTTGCTGAGGTCAAACACATGCAGCTTATTCCTGTGACCTTTCTTCCCCACCTTTTCTGCATCCCCAGTTCATTAGTGTGTACTGTTAGTCCTACCTTCAAAACTCTCTAACTCCACTACTCCTTCCCTACTCCACTGCTGCATTTCACCTGCTCTACAGTCCTTCCCTGCCACCTGATCTCCCTGCCTCTGTGTTCTCCAGTCACTCTGGCCTTGCTTCTGCCCCTACACAGCCCAGGCTGATCAGTCCTCATCTGAGGCCCTGTGTGCTTGCTATCAGAAATAGTCATTCTCCAGGGACTCACATGGCTGTCTCTTTTCATCATCCAGGCCTTAGCTCAAATGTTACCTCCTCTGAGAAGCCTTTCCTGACCACCCTACATAAGGAAGGAAGCCACAGTATGCCTAATTTTTCAGGACGTTATTTGAACTTTCTTCCTAGAATTTACCACACATTGACTTATGATAATATGGATATTTTTATTCCCCCATTAAAAGAGCCATAGAGGAGGGACTTGCCTGTTCAATCACTCTCAGCAGAGTACAGGGCCTGATGAATTGTAGATGCTCAATAAGTATTTATCAAACAAGTGAAAAATGAACAAGAGCTACACAAGAAATATAGCCTTGTAATGTTGTTTCTACTAAACAAGGCTGTCTCACTACTCATCGCTGGGGTCAGCAACTTGGGACTATGTCGATGCTGGCTGAAGAATAAAGGAGCCAGGCAGAGGAGAGCAAGCGAAAAACTGCAAGGCTGGGTGAGCCATCAAGTGACCAGACTAAGTCTGAGATCTGGACATCCGCTGCCAGTTTGCTCAAAA